TTCACGGCAGCGTAAACGATAACACGCAGTTGTTCTGATTTATTGCGTTTAGGTTTTTAATTCTAAGTTTACCGTTTTTGACATAATAAATGCTTGATTTTAGAAGAACTCAATTTTGAGGTACTTATAATTGTTGTAACTACCAAACAAACCTCTAAGAAACTCGTCATCAAGCACTGCCTCATTTGAAACACTATTAAATTAATTATTTGATTCCATGTATTGGAACTGCAATAGAAATAAAAAAGAAATAGCGGTTATACTGATGTCTGACTGAAATGTTAACAAGGCTTCAGTTGTATATCTTGATTCGCTTTGCTTTTCAATTGCAAATATATAATTATTGAAAACGTAGGCAACGGTCACGCCGTTACAATGGATGTGATGCATCTGATCACCAAACAAGAAACTTCACGTTAGATGGCATCGAATTAAACTCGTCCAGCGGTCTATGAATGTAATGGATCTTTTAACAACACATTAGATAATACGCTCGAAAATAAATCATTAATTTCGTACAGCACTAGGGTATGTGCAAGAGGCACTGCACCAGGTCATGTGATAGAGGCACTGCACCGGGTCATGCGATAGAGATACTGCACCAGGGTATGTGATAGAGGCACTGCACCAGGTCATGTGATAGAGGCACTGCACCAGGGTATGTGATAGAGGCACTGCACCAGGGTATGTGATAGAGGCACTGCACCAAGGTATGTGAAAAAGGCAGTGTAGGATTCTTAATGACGCACTAGCAGGACGACAACAGAACTTCAACAATCTTCACTGAACCAAAAGAACTTCAATAATCTTCACTGAACCAAAAGAACTTCAACAATCTTCACTGAACCAAAAGAACTTCAACCATCTTCACTGCTGAACCAAAACAACTTCAACATTCTTCTCTGAACCAAAAGAACTTCAACAATCTTCATCGAACCAAAAGAACTTCAACAATCTTCACTGAACCAAAAGAACTTCAACAATCTTCATTGAACCAAAAGAACTTCAACAATCTTCAATGAACCAAAAGAACTTCAACAATCTTCACTGCTGAACCAAATCAACTTCAACAATATTCTCTGAACCAAAAGAACTTCAACAATCTTCATTGAACCAAAAGAATTTCAACAATCTTCTCTGAACCAAATAAAACTTCAACAATCTTATCTGAACCAAAAGAACTTCAACAATCTTCTCTGAACCAAAAGAACTTCAACAATCTTCACTGAACCAAAAGAACTTCAACAATCTTCAGTGCATCAACATGCAATCGATGCCAGAGCTGCGTCACCATATGGTCGCCTAGCCAGCAGCAACAACAACTACAAGCTCCTGCGTAATCACCTGAATATATTCATCCTTCGACGAATTATATTGACATAAAATTAAGCGAAGGAATTGTGACAAATATTATTGAAATGCTTACCAGTTTTCCACTAAACAATTCACTAAGTTTCATATTCATCAATAAACAGGAGACTAAATACTCTTCTCGCGCCAACAGATCGATAGATTTGGCTCTGTGTGGAGGTAATGATTGAGCAACGAATTAAGGTGGGCAGAAAATATGACATTAGGGCACTTTCTCTGCTGAATTTTTATTATTACTAATCACTTAATAATCATATGTTCTTAATGCAAGATAAAATGGTAGTATGAGCATTTTTTACTTGAAAATACGATGACATTAAATCGGAGTATTCGAATGTCAAACTGCAGGCAAAAATTATTTTTGCAAACAGTTTGGACGACTGTCTTCTTAATATCATTGCAGTGTCCTCGATTTAATATTTAAGAAGTAGTTTGGTTTTGATGACAAGGTTGCACACCGCAATAAAAGGTTTAGCTTAGAACTCGATCTTGTTGAATAAAAACATGAATATTAAACCCAAATTGATTTTCTGATCTGATTGCGGTTTGATTTGCTGGCATTAGGTTTTGATTTTGCTGTCGCCAGAGACAAGCTTGAACTACAGGCGAACTCTTTGAACAATACTGGCAACAGAATTCAAAGATTCAAGTTGTTTCAACGATTAAGTCAAAAAATTACCTGAAAATTAGTTTGATAAACTGTAAAAATATCATGGGCCATAATACTTTAGAAGAATACACTATAATTATGTCCCTAATTCCCATAACCATATTACCTGAAAATATCAACACGGAAACTCAAAAGATTTAAAACATCGCATGGCATATTTAAAAAAAATGAGTTAAACTAAACTTGTCCATGATATGCATTCCCGGGATCATCACTGGACATCAGTAAATACAGATGCAAGGTTGGTGTAAAATTCTAATCAATACGTGAGCCTCCCACACGTCGACATCCTTCTCTTCGAAACCTGGGATCACACCTCGCCTGTGATACCACAACGCTGTACCACAACGCAGTACCACAGAAAAGAACCACAACTCAGTGCCACGCAGATATATTACTCGTAATAACAAGCGCTGGTAACGCCGAGGATTTGGAACATCTTCCAGTGATGGGTTGTGCTTGTGGACGTTGGTTGCGCAAGGTGTCGCATAAAGCCCAGAAGGACTATGCCATTTTCTTTTGGATTCTGGGACGTGTTATCGAACAACACAAGAATATGTTTCACAGCTTAAATTAAATCACTCCTGCCATACACATATTCATAGGCTTTATTCCTGGAACTCTAAGCCATTTAAATAATATACATACGCAGAGTGAGACAGAGGGACAGAGAGAGAGCGAGAGGGAGAGGAGGGGGATGAGGGAAGCGTACCTACGAACTGACGCCGTCGTACCAGCACTCACGGGAACACACTGGGCCGAGCTTCGAGACTGGACCCTCAACTGAACACCCTCTCTCTCTCTTTCCCTCTCTCACTTTCTCTCTTTCCCTCCAGTCTTTCTCTCTTTCATGTCCATTCTCCCTCTCTACCGCTCACTCTGCCTCCCACTCGCCCTCTCGCTCTCTTCCAGGCTTGGCTCCTCTCGAACTCTCTTACCTGCGCTGGTATCCTTCTAACTGCTGTTGCTCCTGTCTTTATCACGCGTTTCTTTCTGCATGGTTTTACCCCTTCTCATGCTTCGTCATTATTTTTCACCAATTGGCTTCTGCAATGTCTAAAATTCACCATTAATTTTACAAACATCATGAGCCTGCTTCCGCCTCTGCTATTTTCGCACTCGATGTCGTTTTATCATCTTAATTACGTTTCTTATGCTGAAAAATAACGATTTACCGTATTTTTTTAGGTTTATTCTGAAAAATATTTAATATTGCGCCCCGTGCTCTAATCTTATGAATTTAAATTGTCTATTGAAACACAGCGCATATCTTATTTTACGGGATTAAACAGATACAATTATTGTGCCGTTGATTCTTACTAGTTCTTTTACAGATAAACTTCCTGCGCTACTCCAGCCATTACTGAAGAATAAGAATTGACGTTCAATTTTTTCTACCAACCAAATGGATGTTGTATCTCGATTTAATTTTCAGTGGAAAAGCACTGGATTTTTCTTTGTGTGTGATGGAGTCTAGAATGCCAATGAACATACTTCTGGTGAGAAATTTTTCAGTATATATTGGATTGCCGAATAGTTGAATTTTGTAAAATATTTCAAGTGTTATCGAGAATGCAAATAGGCTCCATAATGAAGAGTATTTACTCTTATCTTTAGGGAAACGAGAATCTCAGCTTCATGTTTCACTGTTGTTGATCGACAAGACTTGGCCTGCAATTTAGGACATCTTCGAAGTTGAGTCGGCCAAAGGTGGAATTTTATTGTGCATATATAAGTTAGTGCACATATATAGCAGAGTTTATCTTCGCTTTTCCGAAAATGAAAACTATAATCAATGAAATTTTAGTCGCCATATGACAGATACTGCACACAAGTCGCAGCTCGTCAACAAAACCCGTTTAATTTGTGAAAACTACGATTTGTAAGGTTCATTTACCGCAGCATTACTTCGAAGCTATTTTCATTTCTCAAGAAACTTATAGTTGTTACTTTATAAAATGCGGCCTTCCCGTTGAAGGCTGGCTAGGTAAGTGCTGTTTCGACTTAAATGGTTTAGGCAGATGTTAGGCCGGGGGGAAATTAAAAGCCATTTCAATTGAAATGGCCACTGCAAACGGGGTAATTATAATCAGGGCGGAATTTGTTCATCCGGTTCGCATAGCTACGTCGCGGTAGAGCTCTGGTATGTCATCATGGTCCTGCCGCAATGTTTCCTTTGTCTTAAACTATCCAAGATGTATTCTAGATTTATAGTCAGGTGTTATATATTGAAAATTTCTGCACTTTTCCAGCGAATGCCTTCCAGATAGAAAGCCCTCGGATACATTGTTTGGTATATATTCAGGCACTTCAGGGCAATTTTGATCGATCGAATCGTGTTTTATTATTCCAATATACCGCAGCCATCTTCGTCTCTAGTCTATTTTTTCCAATTGACAAACAACTGGACGAGCTTATTGAACACATGACATGAATTGTCAACTATTTCCTCACTTTTTAGCATCCATTTATACTGGATCAGTCTGCTGAATCCAGTATGCTCTTTATAGTGCATATATATAGTGCTTATATATATGCTCTTTATAGTGCATAGCAGGAAATAGACCAATTAATGAATGACGACCATGAATGATAATGTGAATGGTGGCAATTGATGATGGTGATGTTGAGGAATACTGGGATTCTAATGGACCCCCACATTAATTCAAATATTTTCAGTATTTCCGCCAACACAGAAGCTGGAATATCGATTTACCCATGACATGCCACGGGATGAGTGTGAGGCGGGAGACCCAACACAAACCCCACGAACAGGGCTCCCCGCAAAGCCTACGGACAGGGCTCCCCATAAACCCAATGTAACGATACTTAAACATGAAATTTTTACATCCAAAGGTAAACGTTTCCTAGATTTAAAACACGTTGGAATAAACTCAAAGAAACGTGAATAATTTGTAAGAATTACCCTTCGTTGAGATTCTACCAACCAAATGGATGTTGTATCTCGATTTGATTTTCGGTGGAAAAGCACTGGATTTTTTTTTGTGTGTCATGGAGTGTAGAATGCCAATAAACATACTTCTGGTGAGAAATTTTTCAGTATATATTGGATTGCCGAATAGATGAATTTTGTAAAATATTTCAAGTGTTATCGAGAATGCAAATAGGCTCCATAATGAAGAGTATTTACTCTTATCTTTAGGGAAACGAGAATCTCAGCTTCATGTTTCACTGTTGTTGATCGACAAGACTTGGCCTGCAATTTAGGACATCTTCGAAGTTGAGTCGGCCAAAGGTGGAATTTTATTGTGCATATATAAGTTAGTGCACATATATAGCAGAGTTTATCTTCGCTTTTCCGAAAATGAAAACTATAATCAATGAAATTTTAGTCGCCATATGACAGATACTGCACACAAGTCGCAGCTCGTCAACAAAACCCGTTTAATTTGTGAAAACTACGATTTGTAAGGTTCATTTACCGCAGCATTACTTCGAAGCTATTTTCATTTCTCAAGAAACTTATAGTTGTTACTTTATAAAATGCGGCCTTCCCGTTGAAGGCTGGCTAGGTAAGTGCTGTTTCGACTTAAATGGTTTAGGCAGATGTTAGGCCGGGGGGAAATTAAAAGCCATTTCAATTGAAATGGCCACTGCAAACGGGGTAATTATAATCAGGGCGGAATTTGTTCATCCGGTTCGCATAGCTACGTCGCGGTAGAGCTCTGGTATGTCATCATGGTCCTGCCGCAATGTTTCCTTTGTCTTAAACTATCCAAGATGTATTCTAGATTTATAGTCAGGTGTTATATATTGAAAATTTCTGCACTTTTCCAGCGAATGCCTTCCAGATAGAAAGCCCTCGGATACATTGTTTGGTATATATTCAGGCACTTCAGGGCAATTTTGATCGATCGAATCGTGTTTTATTATTCCAATATACCGCAGCCATCTTCGTCTCTAGTCTATTTTTTCCAATTGACAAACAACTGGACGAGCTTATTGAACACATGACATGAATTGTCAACTATTTATTCAATTATTAGTATTCATTCATACTGGATCAGTCTGCTGAATCCAGTGTATTAATCTACTACTTTCCCTGTATAACTCTAAGCATACAGAGCGTTATTCAAACTTCAAAATCAATAATGCGTTTTGCTAACTACGCAACTTGGTGGTTAGGTGCCCCTCGATCTTGGTAGCCGCTTTCACATTTGCGTCAGCATTCACGCTTTGAAAAATTAACGAGACTTTGTCCGAATAGCGATGCACTTTCTCCCTTATGTGGCTTATCTTGACTCAGTACCAACCGGGAAATTGAAGTATCAGTGCTACACGCAGCAAGGGCCAATATTCGGACACATTTATTTTTCTGAGATGATAGTCTAAAGCGCTGAGGAACGACAGCCGTCGGATGCATGTCGCAGCGGCCTACCCACCAGGCAAACAACGTTGAATTCAACGTTGAATCAACGTTGATTCAACGTCAGATGTATTGTGGGTAGGATCTTTTTAGGAAGGTAGCGATACTTGAATCAAAAGGGCAGTTTAATCCTGAAATCCCAAGGGTGATTTGACCCCTGAATCCCATGGGTGGATAGACGCAGGAATACATTTTGAGTTCCGACCCTGTGTTGGCGGATTTTGCTCTGTATCTTGGATTATCAAAAACCATTTATTCATATTTATCAGTTCAATCATTTCTCTCCTCATCTAACTACTTGGTCATAACTCGATCGATCTTTAGGTCTTACAAAAATTGAATGATTAGTTCATGTATTTAAGATTTTCAAACTTTCTATGACTTACGAGACGAAGAAATGAAAGCAGTTCAAGCCTGGCGGGCGAAAGAAAACTGTCTCATGGAGGTATCCTGTTGATTGTAAGAATAAACTATATCTGAATCAATAAAAAATTAACACAAATTTCGATATAATGATTGCCACTGTTGGCAGCCACGATGCTCAGACTCACCTGCCTCTTGTCTCTACAGGTGTGCATCCTCCTTGGACTCGCCTGTCTGCAGGCTTCGAGCGCTCCAGTTCCCAGGTCGTCTGCAGCTCTGGATCAGAAGGCAGGGTCTGCAAGTGATGGATCTGCCGCCAAGCCATCGGTCTCCATTACGGTCAAGAATTCGACCAAATTCGATGCAATGGCGCCGAGTCAGAGTCAACTTACGAAGGTGAGTTCAATGGAAGCCTCGGCACTTTCAATTCCGTCAAAAATCGCGTGAAAGCCGTGAAATTGACCATTTCTCTGCCAGCTCGTGCGGACGTTTAATATAAATGGCCGTACTCTAGGAAACGTTCAAACACAACTGAACCAAATGAAGGTTGAATGGGAGTCGTTTTTGGAGCTTACTGAAGCTTTCTGGTAAATGGATTAATTTTAGGTTGAAATGAAATATATTGTTTTTATTCGATTGATATTTAAATAAATTGTTTAACACCATATCCCTGTCTCTTATACACATCTAGATGTGTATAAGAGACAGATGCTTANTCGTCATTGTTAAATAAAATCTTGAGACATTTTCCTTCCCCTCCAGCAAAGGACTCGAAAATCAGCTTCTTCATCTGGAGCCGACGTTGGAGGAAATTTAAAAAAAGCGCCGTTCGATGGGACAGTCCATCAGAAGCCCAAGAAAGTGATGAAGGACGTGACTGAAGCTCCCGTCTTGAAGTTGGTTTTACCCACAGACTCTCCGGCGACCAGTGGGGAGCGGAAGCCCTCACGGAGGAAGAGGTCTGCCCAGACCATAAATGACGCCTCACAGGAAGATGCCTCCAGCGCACCCGAACTTGATCTGAATCTTAAGAAGTCGAATGCGACGCCGATACCCAAAAAGCAACTCGTCGAAAAGGCGAAACGCAGTGCGGGCGCTCAGGCTGGATTGAAAGAGGTCGATCATGTCGGCAGTCCGAGTTCAAAGACTCGTATTCTTACCGGTCCACAGACTGATGAAAATCGCAAGCTACGAAGAAACGTAAAGCAAATAAACTCAGAACTTCCAGTAGAATTGAAAGTAAAAAATGATAGTAAATTTGGTAAAAATGCCATTGCAAGTAATGAGGAGGGTCGAACTGAAAAGGCTAAAAGTGATGATTTCGAAATTGGTGACGGTTGGGGTGACGGCGCGAAAATAAAATTGAAAAAGATTTCTTCCGCAGGAAAAAGTACAGATCTGCCGAACGACTTAAGAAGAGACCAAAAGTCGAATAAAAAAGTTATTTCACAGTATGATAATCCGATGACGGAGATTGTTGAAGAAGACGAAGAAGATGAACAACATGACGATGAGGAACCAAGAGAAGAAGAAAATGTCGACAACGACGAAGAAGAAACTGATGACACCAACGATGATGAAGGAAATGAACGCACAAACAATGATGAAGAAGAAAATGACGCTATCGACGAAGAAAAATATGAAGTCGGTGACTATCAAGACGAAAATTTCGTCATACATGATGACCAATACGATGCCGATGAATCAGAAGAAGGAAAAATTATTGATGAAGTTGGAGCAATGGAGAATGAAGGAGATGCCGAGGATGAGGCCGAAAGTGAAACGGAGACGAAACCTAATAAAGATGAACATGCCGTTCAAGATGAGTCAGCTGGCGAAAAAATTCAGGTAATTCTAAAAGAAAATAAAACAACTTGGCACATCGAGGGCTCATAGAAACGCAAATCAAGTGACGTCACGCATACGAGTGCCACTGAGCAGGCCCTGCCGCTGGAAACCAGTAGTGACGTCACTCGGTCACCCAAAGGTGTGGGTGGGAAATCCATGAATGAAAATTTGGCAGCGTTGTTCGGACCACCGCACCCAGCCAGGCTTTTGCCGCTCGGCAAGTGCAACCTGCACGGCCTCTCTCTTCAGGTCAGTTTTGACTAACCGTGCGTAATTACCAAAGTCACATTATATATCATTCAACATTAAATCAATACTTATGTTCTGAATAGTTCACTGCAAAATATTGTGGTGTCGACGAGCCTCAGTTATTGTCCCCGTCGCTTAAGCTTTTGTCTTGATTTTACTTGCAGTGTAATTTTTGAACTGCCAGAAACCTCCCATATTTAAAATATGGTGAACGTGGACAATAATTTGATTCCTCATTTAAATACTCCTTAAAAATTAAAGAATATAAAGTTTTGCAAATTACCGTGGGAAATAATTTCTTTGGACATGTATTCTTTTAATCATAACAACGCGACACACCGGAAGGTTGAACTATACCTAAATCTTCGCACTTTCAAGACTAAACAAATTGGGCAATTAACGAGGACACTATGTGTGTCATACAAACAAGTGTTGATTATCACACATGTTTGTGAAATTATCAGGAATGAGGCCAAGGTGATCGTGTATATATAAGCTTTTCACTGTTCCATGAGCTGCTACAGGTGACAACGCTGGAGAAACATTACATTTTAAAGAGCAGCTTGCTAGGCTGCAGTGTAACAAATAACAATGCACTGTAAGGCCAAATCTTTTCTGTTCTTGAGGTGGCCTAGGGTGAAAAATATCTTCGGCAAAATTTTAACGCTTAGTGAAATTGTATTTGTTAGAAAACTCTTATTTTCTGGTAGCATTTCAATCGTAATGCTTTGTACGAAATTTAATTCAAATATTACAGTCGGGAAATTTAGAATGAAAAATTTCTTACAATTTATACTTGTTAATTTTTAACTCCGGATCCTAACGTTTCATGGGCCTTGTTTTTTCGAGGCTCTTTATTTCCTAGTTTGCTTATTTATTCCTAATGCTGAAACTCAAATCTTAGCGAATCATGATATCTACAATGTAATTGAAGTGTTTGTCAACTTTATAGGTTGGATGCAGGGGCAACTTGATCACCATCTGCACTCGCAACTTCCCACCAGACTCTGTTAAAGTTTGGATCGAAGGGGGCGAAGGATCAGCAGTGATCTCTCACCAAAATCCTGTAAGTGCTTAACTAAATTGGACAAACTTCACGAATAACAAAGTCCTGACGACCTATTATCAGTTGTTTAATATCATTGCTTGCTACATGTATTATCTATTACATATCATCCGTTGCTACATGTATTATCTATTACATATCATTCATTGATACATGTTTTATATATTACATATCATTTATTGCTACATGTATTATCTAATAAATATCACTGCTTGCTAGTAACTGTAATTTTGTGAAATTTCAAGTTGCTCTCTCGCTTGCTCTCAAGGGTCCCGATTTATAAAATACCCGTATATTCGCCCCCCTTTGTGTATTTTGCACAAATGAATTTCAACCACACGAAAATCTAAAGCTTAAGTTTTGTTATAGCATCTACGAATGCAACTTAGTCAAGTGTATTTTTCTGAAGCAATACTGTGGTCAGTTACAGTTATTTAGTTTAAAACTATAGCTTTGAAAGCCATGCTTGAAATTTTCCACCATGACCGCGTTCTCGAGAGGGCTATCACTCACACTTGTGTCCTGTGATCTTGGTGACAAGCAACGACCATTACGAAGGCCATCTAATGGAAAAGCTTCTTATTAAATTAGACGAGCCAGGGTTCATGGAGGCCACCATGCAACTTTAATGATGTTGTTCAGTTTAAAAAGGAAGATACTCTTGGGCGTCTTCCTCCAGAGAAATCTTGTGCTCCTTGCCTTTGCGGTTACAGGCTTTTTTGGGTCGGAATTTATGAGCTCTACAATCAACTGTTCACTTTGTTTACTTTAGAATGAAGAAGTTAGAGTCAAGATGCACAATCCATCGCATTTTGCTCTTTAGTAACATTCTAGATTTCAGTAATAACTATCGATGTTTACTCCTGTATTATATGTATCATATAATTAAAAATAATGTCCGTATAATATACTTAATAATGTCATTAAAACGATCAAGTTTCAATTTTTTCGAGAAATTTTATTTCTCATATCCGATAGGTCAAACTTCGATAAATAAATAAATAGTTTCGTTTCTACTAATATCTATCAGCTCTATTCCTCTGAGTTTCAGAACCCAATTGCCAAAGTGTTATTCGAGCTCCTCGAGAGTTTTCCCGGGGATATTATCAGAGTAACTGAAATTAGAAGAATAAATGCTTAAAAAATTACTATGAACAGATTACAGTGATCTCAAACGAAATAAAAAAACTTTGCATCAGCTTTTTATAAATATTGAAGCTGCGGCTTGTCGCTCTTAAAGAAGAGCGGACCAAGCGTTGCAACACAGAGAGCCGTTCTAAGCATGAGTCTCTGCAAGCACAGACATGCCCATGCGTCTCGCACATGAATGATATATTCTTATGAAAATAATGCATGGAATGGTGTATTCTTCTAAGAATTATGCATGGAATCATACCAACTTCTTTTTGATTGTATACATCAAATTTTAAATTAAGTGCAATGTAGTTCTTTTGCTCTGTAACGAGAATGAATTCTCAAGCGCACTCCTAGATTGTCTGCCGAAACATGTTTAATTGTGCTTAAAATAGAGATTATAGTGTTCGTTTTAGTGACGAATATTAACATTCATTATGTAATAAGCCTCTCTATTCAAATTCTGCGAATAGGTGTATATAAATGCCCGAGTCATAATATAGGCATTAATTTAATTTAATGCCTCAATTTAAGTGCAAGTAATTTAACACTTAGAGACTAGAAAACGTTAGAAAGAATTTTATTCAGCAGAGCTCGGGTTTATTCCAATGCTTTTTTTCAATGAATAATTTTCATATCATCCGATGATTGCCTATCATCCGATGATTGCGTATCGTCCGATGATTGCGTATCATCCGATGATTGCCTATCATCCGATGATTGTGACAAGCTCAACACTGCAAATTGGCGTCCTAGCGTATGATTATTATTTTCTAGTATTCAAATGTACAGGAAATTTGTTTAGTCGAACCTCAGCGATTAGGTCATTGGGAACTCATTACCCCACTGATTTTATTGTTATTAATTGAAATGCAAGCAATTCCTAGGACATGGTTTGTTGATTTTTTTTTTATTTTTTGCTTACGTTGTTAATTTGAAGGAAAATAGAAATAAGTAATTTACTACAATCAAAAAAATTAGGTGAAGGCTCTATATAGGTATACTTAATGAAAAATTCTCAAAGTGATAAATTAACTAAATATTATGATAATTTGACTTACTAAATACAAACGAATCTTAAATCTTGATGGGATGTTATACCTCTTTGGTCTCAGTATCATTTCACGCATTCAACAAATTCATAATTTTTGTTAGCGTTGTTTTTTCCTTGTTTTCATCACATGTTTGTATTTTTTTGTACACCTCGAGGTGGCGTACGGTCAGCTGATAGTTGCGACAAAGGCCGCCGCCACGAGGGCGGTGGGCGCCGCCGTGAAGGTGCCGCGCTGGCGGGTGGCGGGCGAAGTGGACGACGCGGCGGCTGATGTCGGTTGTCCAGACTGCGTACGGAACGCACCCGTTCTCATACTCAAGGTACGAACGTTGCGTTTCTGTTTACCCTCTTCATTATTTCCCATACGGTGTGTGAGATTTTTAAAGTGTCATAGTAATAAATGAAATAACGCTTCAGCTTCCTCTCTTCATTATTTCCCACCCGATGTGTGAGGTTTTTAAAGTGTCATAGTGATAAAATAAAGTGCGATTCAGCTTTCGCTCTGAATTTCCCGTCCGATGTGTCTGATTTTTAAAGTGTCATAGTGATGAAATAAACTGCGCTTGAGCTTCCGCTCTGAATTTCCCATCCGATGTACCCGAGTTTTAAAAGGGCATAGTAACAAAGAAAATTGCGTGCCAGTTTCCTATCTTAATTTCCCGTCCAATNGACTCACACCCGTTAACTTTTTTCATCCTCACCAACCCTCTGCCAGGCGACGGGACTGAAATCTTCCAAGGGACGCCAGTCGAGCTCGGCGAGCAGCTGTTGCTGCGCGTGGCCGCCGAGGCCGACTTGACGAGAGCGAGCGCGGCTGCTAAACTTGCCAAGCTTCGGGGGCCTGAGGCCCACGCCCCGGCGGTAGACATGCACCTCATCAGGTGTTGGGTGGGCGACGAGAACCACGAGAGGGCGCTGCTGCTTCAGGTTAGTTCTTGATTGTCAGGTTTGTTCTCTATTATTTGAAATGTTCTTCACTGTTGGAATCGTTCTTGATTGTTAGCTACTTCAAAATCGTCAGTCAAGAAAAGATCCGGTCAAATGACACGATTTTAGATCTGTGAAAAAGGCACGAAAAGGAAAAGAATCGGCGACAGGCCACATCAGGCCTACACTTCAGCGCCGAGATCACTATGTTATGTTATGTTATGTTATAGTATGTTATGTTATGTTATAGTATGTTATGTTAGAATCGTTCTTCATTGTTAGAATTGTTCCTAATGGTTTGGTTAGTTCACAGTTATTATGTTTGTTCATTTTGTTAGGTTCATTCTATATTGTTAGTTTTTTCTATATAATTAGTATATAAGCGTTCACAATATAAACTCTGCTTTGCACCCCTTACATTACTTTGTTAATTTTAATTTAATGTTATTTTGGAATGTAAATAAAATTCTCCATATGTATGTGGTTACGTATGAGGAAAAATTTACCTTATATCTACCTAAGCATTGAACAAGGCTGTCGATAATCTCTTTCATAAATATTCCTAGTCTGTCAAGTCAGTGTGCTCTTTATATTTTTAGTTGTACGTATCAATGCCAATTTTCGTTCTAATCTGTTCACTAATAGTATATTTCCCAATCGTCCTGGAAAGTTAGTGCATGAACTTTTTCGTATTCATCAGCGTCAATATTCAAGGCATATTTCAATCAAGCTTTAAATAAGTGGCCTCCAAATTTTTTCAGACAGAATGAAGTATTCTGGTTTCTGCACGAGTGCAGATATTAAAAATAGCTACTTCTCTGTCATATAATTGTTGAAAGTTTATAGAAGCAATTAAATTATATGTTCGAGGCCTTGAAACTAGAAAAGGCCCATTCAAGGCCTCGGGAAAAAAATTAAATTTCTAAGACAACGGTGATGTAAATTTTTTAAATGATGTGGTCTCCATCTCTGTCCCGATTTGTGAAAATATGACCCGACAGTCCTTGCTGCCTGCTACCAAATAATAACTCGCTATCAATATTCATTCATTCATCATTTATTCCATGAGCAGAATGGCTGCAGCGTTGTAGATATATTGGGAAACTTCACGGAGACGGTCAACAATGCGTCAAAGTTGCTGGCATTGTACGACTCTTTTGATATAGGATCTTCCTCGCGTGAAAATCTGAAGCAGTTACACGTCGAAAATGAGAATGGAAAAGAACGTCCCGTAGAAAATGGAGCTTTTTCAGGGGATACCAAGCATTCGAACCGCTCGATGACGAATGGCGTTGTGCAATCAGCGCCACTCGTGGCTTTCGTTATGGATGTTTCTGACACGATAATCGACATCTCGTGTAAGATAAAGGTATGAACGATCTAAATACCGAAATACTTTAAACTTATTTTTTGTGATTAAAGTTAGAGGAAGGGGATATAATATAACACAAGGTATGGATGATATTAGAAACTAAGTCAATAAATATTTTTTCGTTGAATTACGTCAAAAAATAATTAAGCAAATATTATCCTAACTACTGATAAGGCGTACCGTATATCTTTATTGAACAATACATCTTTCACTGAATTGTAGAAATTTCAGAACTTCATCCGATTTTCAATAAAAATATTGCATTCCGCAAGATTTGATTTCCTAAATTCAAGATTTGCGTGGGCGAGTGTCTCGAAATCTCACCCTGCGTCGAAAGTTCCATCAACTTGGACAGAGGACAGCGACCTCGCTCTCCCGTCATCAGCTTCGTGCGCTCCCTCACCGTCAGCATGACACCCAACACAGGTGAGTGCCTCCTGGTTTTCTAGTTCATTACAAAAACAAATGCCGGTAGATTCATCATAGGCATAAATTTTTGGGTAGTCCCCTGTATGCTTCGTAATGCTTCATCCGTAGTTTTATGATTTTTGCAATTCTGAAATAATTTAGGGAAAAATTTAGTGATTCAAACTAAATTTCGTGTGAAGCCACCGTAAAATTGTTTATAAACGTATTTCTTTAGGTGTTCAGGCCGACCGAGAGGATGCGCTCACCAAAAGCGCGCAACCCTCAAGAGGAGATCGCAATGTAAGATCAGTTTCTAGTTTTGAAATAGATTCTTCATCTCCATCATCGGTTCATGATGAAGAAGTGAAACACTTAGATTCACTAGCTTCTTTGAAAATGGGCAACCCACATATAGCAGTGGATGAAACCAAGGCAAGCGCCACTGCACAAGACCTGCCGGCTGGTGGAGAGAGCTACTCAAAAGACTCCTGGTTGAGTATATCAGACCCAAACATTATAGACCCTCACCCCAAGATAAACAGCTGTGTTCCATGGTGGTTATTCTACGTGTCCATAACCGGCCTAACTTTACTATACATCGTGGCTCTGGTGTGCTGTCTTTACTTCGTCACGAACGATCAGCAGCAGCGCAGAGTTCGGCACCGGGAAGAGGTCATGCAAACACCGACGCGTCCTTATTATGTTGATCAATGCTCAGCTAGGAAGCGAACTCCGCCAACCATAAATGAGCCTTACCTCTATTAGACCTCAATAAACAAGCTGTGAGAGTATTGCAGCTATGCACAGTATAAATGACAATAAAATACTCTTGAGCGCCGAGCTTTCAGAGCTTTTCGACAAATGATATTAAGGGAAACTGAAGAATGTCTAAACTGTTTTTCGTTGCTTGAATTAGCTTACTTCTTTATTTTTCGGTGCGTTAAATTTTTTTAGGTGTAGTACTTGATTCTTAGCGTTTCTATAAACTTGGTGTTGGCGATACATGTTAGCGATAGATTGTATCGTAGATCTACTCAAGTACTATATTGCAGTTAACCTTATCGTTACATGCTTGATTGTGGCCACATATTGTTGACCATTTGTCTCCTGGCCATAATTATTAAACTACTATTTATATTAAATTATTAGAAGCGTGACATTACGTAGCCTAGCTTCCAAAATTGTATTCTCTTGCTTTTTTTTAAGTCGTCCTGATGATCTCTCGAGGAGAGCGCAAAATTTGATTGAATTTCTTAGTTTTGCGTGCATTATTCTGAACATTGAGGTTATTCATGGATAACAATTTATAAATGAATATAAAGATAAACAGTCTTCATTTCTTTGACTTCGTAACAAATTAATGATGAATGAAGCTACGCGTATACGGTGTCAACAAAGAGTACAAATGCCCGACGCCCGTGCTGGGTTCAGATCATCCATAGTACCTGTGGAGGACAGAATTACTTCTGTTATGTTCGGTAGCAACAAATATTATTGTGCATTGCTTAAAATGGAAGAGTAGCGAGTCCCCTTCGTTGAAAAATATTTAAACTCGACCCTTTTGAGATTTTTTGAACTAGCTGATTATGATTTGGCATGAAAATTAATGAACATTAATGGATTAATATTAGTATTATGATGAGAGCTAATAACTGTCACTTGCTGTGTTAGACTACAATTAATATTGAAAAATTATAATCAACGTGACCTATATAATCGTATAAAAATTTAAAAAATTATCACCGTGACCTAAAATCTCACCCATATCCACCGTGACCTATACCAAATGAGATGCCAAAGAATGGGCGCTGGTATCCATATCCACCATAGCCTCCGTATCCACCATATCCAAGAAAGGGTCTGTATCCACCAAAGCCTCCATATCCACCGTAGCCATATCTGCGTCGGTGGTGTGGCCCAGGGTTGGCATCGGCGCCGGCGTAGGCGATGGGCCCGGCGGCCGCCAGGACTACGGCGCCCAGCACCAGCAGAAGAACTAACTGAGGTGGGCAAGAGCGGCTTTCAGTACTGGTTAAAAATATCTTATAGTTTCAATACAGTAAAGATTTCAGTATTGGTTCGTAATAGAGGAAAAATTTCAGTATAGGTTCGTAATATAGAAAAAAATCAGTATTGGTTCGCAATAGAGGAAAAAATTCAGTATTGGTTCGCATTAGAGGAAAAATATTCAGTATTGGTTCGCAATAGAGGAAAAAATTTCAGTATTGGATCGCAGTAGAGGAAAAAAAATTTCAGTATTGGTTAGGAATATCGGAAAAAGTTTCAGCATTTATCCATAATAGCGTAGAAAATTTGGGGTTGCATGTTATGGTCCGGCATTGCCTAATACCGGCATCACTTTCATCTGCCGAGCGGAAACCTGTTACTAAGTCGATTAACTTAACATGAGCTCAAGTACTTAGAGCCACAGGCCAGTACAGTCAGTCTTCACTGCATATACACCAGCATGCATATTCATCCCCACTTACACCAACTTTCCACCCAAATAAACCTTTTCGGACCTAACCTAGCCTCATTGGCTGCAGCAAGGTGGAAAGGCGGGGTAAGTGCGGAGGTAGGCGCGTGCAGGGGTGTAGATGCCGTGAAGAGTTAAAGACTTTACTGGCTGGAGCAGTGGCAGTGCAGGCACACAGCGCCTTTGTCTTAAATTCGTCGCGAAAGTGGTATAGCTTGCGGTGTTTCTAGCGTAGTCTGCGACTATGTAGCTCTGAGGCTGAGTTCAGCTGAGCATGTTTACACCGAACCGAAAAGTTTGAATAATAGGAGTGTTTGCTTCAAGGCTTATTCAAAGAGTTGGATTTGTGGCGGACGGCTGAATACCCGAAAATTTGAGTCTGTTCGTGATATCGTAAAAAGTTTCAGTATTGATTCGTGACATCGTAAAAAGTTTCAATATTGGTTTATAACATTGTAATAAGTTTTATTAGTGGTCCGTCAAATAGTGGAAAGCCAACAATTCACGTACAATTATTGTTTTATTTTTAGATTGCACTCCTATCAAAGAGGACTAAAAGATAAATTTTTGGTTACATTCAAATGTATGACTTTGCGTAACTTGAGCATGGGAAGTCCGTATTCAATTTTTAATTGAATGAATTTTATGTCAAATTAGAATCAAATTAGTTGAAATTTTAATGTTTTCGTAACATACAATACATTAACAATACAATAAAACGTTCAGTTGCTTATCATGATGTATTACATATAGCGTGCATTAATACATCATGATATTGATGCGTCATGATATAGCGTGCATTACTACATCGCTATATGTAATACATTGTATAACATATAGCGTGCATTTGTCCTTTTTAGCGCATTTTCTCATTTATGGAAAAAATGCACTATTGTGCTCGCCATGTCCATCTGTCTGTCTGTCTGTCTGTCCGTCCGTGACCTCAAGTTTTCGTCGACGAGAAAATGTTTCTCACTGCAGTGAGTACTGAGTTTTTTTTTTTTGTTTATGAACGGGTAACTTGTCTTTACACGGGGTTAGAGTAGTAATTTTGAGTTTGTACCCATGCGCTTTGGCTATCCTGAGGCACATCATTTCTTATATTTACACATTGGATTAAGAAGCTGCGGATATTGGAGTCGCAGCTCTAGCTGCCGGCATATCACGAGTGTAAATCGCGGTTTATTGTGTTTTAAACTTGAACAAAATCCTTAATTAATTTGAAGGAATTTCTCATTTTTATGTAGCCTAAATATAAAAACTGAATGCCATATTTATTTTTTATTTTCTTGATTTTCGAAATGAATAAAATATGCAGTACAACATTGCATACAAAATCGCTCAATTATTCTTGCTGTCGATTTATTTGAAAATAATCGAAAATGCAATTACAAAAATAAAATAGCCTCTACATGTAGAAGATAAATCCCAAAACTTACCACAATATTGTTCTCCATAATTTTCATTCGAGGAGTAGCTTGGAATTTACTAACATAAGCAACGAGTAAGTGTCTCTGCAGCGATGCTGGAGAATCTTTCTTTATATACCATCTCTCACCGGGATTTCCAGGGAGCATAGAAGCTGCAAACACTTCAATAATATGAAGCTGTCCAGTTGCCTAACTTCTAGCGGGGACCAGTTCTGCAACGGGTGCTAATCAAAGAGGCCTTGGAGTCCATAGATGCCCTAGCTGACGTTCTTGTCATAATTTTATGATATCATTTTTGAAAGATAAATTTAATTGGAAAGTTGATACTTTCCATTCAGAGCTTCTCTGCTTTCACGAAGTTTTATTTAATAATAATAACAATCAGTTATTTTGTTTCCATTAAATTCCCTACCAACGGATTTGTTTGGGAATGCTGCCGCCTCTGTGTCAGATGATGACATGTTGAACCAGCGGCTGCTCTAGTCAAGGTCAGCTCGGTTGCTGGGATTCTGTCTTGCGCCATTACTCGATAATCTTGCGTTTATTATTCAAGTTTGTCCACTATTGTCTAGCATCAGTACAATTTCGTCACTTTTGAACGTATTAAAACCAATATAAATTATAAGTAAATTTAATAATGAGGCAACCCAGAATTTAGAATTATTAATAAAAGAATCGCCTGCCCATATGTAAAATTTTTTTGACACTACCATGGTTTTTAAATCCCAAATAATCTTATTAGATGGAATCAGTCATATGTTATAATCAATCGCCTATCTCATCATTTTATGATTTCCTCGCCTATCTCATCATCATATCATTTTTTCACTGCATCATCCATTATTCTGATTTATTTTCAAGTTGTGGAAGCCTCCAAGGCGCCAAGGTGGAGGGCTCCCTGCACATGTATGTCGCTGTCATGAATTAATTTCATGATGAATCAATAATTAATTAAATCTGTACATTTGATATTCCTTCCCTGAAATTCTCCATCGTAATAGTAAAATTCAGATAGTAGGTTTAGGTTCATTTATTTAATAGGATGAATCCATAGAAAGACATGTTGATGCAATGAACCTTGTGTTTACTGTGTAACTATTTTATTGTTGGTTTACGGCTTCAGAAACTTTCGTTGAATAACAGTGGGCTGTCAACAATTTATTACACATTTTATAGTTGTTAAAGTTGATCAACAAAGTAACTTAGGTATATTTTTGCTAATATTTTAAGGCCAACTCTTTCATATGTGATACGAACTTTGCTGTGATTTGGCTCATATCTGAGGCCAATTTTTTTTAACAGCACGGACTTATGGGAAAGTATCTATAATAAAACAAGCTTGCATTATTCTAATTTAGAGTCTTCAGTGTTAAGGGCTCTCATGCCAAGCATAATTTAAAGTTGAGACAAATATTTGATACTTATTTTCGATTTAAATCCAAAGTATCGCAATGGCGTGGTGTGTGTTGCTCTACAAATGTCGTGGTTGAAGAGCGAGACAAAAAATGTACTGCCTAATAAATGGGCATTCTTTATGTTCACTTATGTTTACATATTTGTGTGTAACTTATTTGTGTGATCTTAATGTTCACTTGTGTTTACGCGAACGTTCGGTGTACGCCTATATATATTGGTGGTCGATCGTGCGATTGCCAATGCCATGGACACCAGGGTATAAACGTAGAGGAGGCTGAGGTATCCAGTAGCCTGCTAATATCCTCGAGATCAATGATGCTTGTCCCTGATTTTAGCAGTTATAATTATCTCTTAGCTTACTTTATGTTACAGCTTAAAAGTTAATCGAGTACATGGGCTGGTTATTTGTTCTTTATTATTCCTCAGTCCGATATTATATTCTTAAACCTCAATAGGCAATTTTTGGGACATAAACAAATATTTATATTTTTAAAGCCAATTAAAAAAACTTTGTAAAATTAATAATCGCACGTTACTAACATAACTTTGCGCATATGTCCATCAGATTTTTTATCAGGGCCTTTTTTGTAATTAATCTTAGTCTCGCTTTGTAACAGTTGATGTTTTCTGCCGACTCAAAAACTTTGAGAACTTGAGATCGTTAGAAATAGATATAATCAATGTGGAATATGAATTTACGCAAAGATGTTACAAAAAATTAGTGTTCTGCTCCTTTTCTATTATATGAGTAGAAAAGGATGAAAAATGAAGCAGAACGTCTTTGCCGGCGTTTTTGATGATTCTCAATGTGGCGGTACTTTTGAGTTCCTCTAATGAACCGCACCTGGAAATAAAAAAAGCACCAACAATTGAAATGAATTGTTTTGGATGTGCGTTACCTTCCATTAAAAACTATGATCACTTACGCTACATTGTCAGCTTCAATCATGTATATTAACAAAAGATAAGTTTTCTTCCCTCAAGGAATCTACTCAAGAACATCACACGAATCGGCGACACCCCAGAAGCGGCCTAATGGAGTATACGTATGTATTAATGAAGTTAACTTGGCTAAGTGGCATAGGTGAAGTAAAGGCATCAAAGTAAATGGCTTTACGATGCACATGACTGCTTACTGCTTACGAGTTCAGCGTTCATTTCTATATTTTCAGCGTTTAATGTCAATATGTTAATGCTGCCATTTTAATATTGTATAGCATAATAAAGATATCAGTTTTGATAGAGATTAAATTTAGATGAAACCTTACCAACATTCAAGATGTTCTTATCCAATTACAAAACCACCGATACCCGCGCGAATGCTAAGGCCTCCATCTCCACCGGATTTAAAGCCTCCATCTCCACCGGATTTAATGCCTTCATCTCCACCGGATTTAATGCCTCCATGTCCACGGGATTTACCGTGAATACCGTGGCTTCTATCGCCAGAGCCACGGCGCTCAGCACCAGCAGCACCACCAGCTGTAGGTTAGCAAGAGCAGCTCCAGCTCTTAAACAAGTCATTTCATTTTGATAAAAGATTTTTTGTGAAATTTAATATAACTTTTTAGTTTTCAGAAATTAGAGTTCATATTAAATAAGAATGAATGAGTTTGTTGCTGTTTTGTTTTAGTGAAAAGCCATTTAACCACAGCAGAGGCAATCTGAA